CACTGCAACAGCAGACTACGCAATTAGAAATAAATCCTCATGTTATGTTATATATTTTTTTTAAATATATAATATATATATATTACATACACACGATGTCGTCCGAAAGAAAAACATTTGTCAACGGTGTATATTACGCCGACGTGGTCGTCGGACTAACCATAGGTAATGCTTGTTTAACGAAAATGGTTCTGAAACAGCCAACGATCAAACTCGATTTCAACGTGCAGGACATGGGCATGCTTGTCATGGACTTCAGGATAGCGATGGCACGGACATTCTCGTGAAACAAGGAATTATACCCGAAAACATTTTTAAGTAATATTAAAAAACACATAATATAAAAAAGAATGGCTACAATCGCCATGATGGTCGGTGGTGCATTAGTCAACGCCCTTGCATTTTCCAGCAGCAATTATCTCTTCTCCAAATTATGAACGTCGAACACGGCCGAAATGGAAGCAGAACGTAAACGTCACGATTTGGCCTTGAGAGAAACTGCTAGCTGAGTATGCCAAAAATGCGTGCAGAGAATGCAGTTTATCAACGACCAACTCGCGCGAAAACCACGCCATTCAAATGTTCAAGAACGTTGATGACGCCATGCGAGAATACTACCTGCCCACAGGCAAACGACTCGAACCTCTCAACGACGAATCCAACCTCTCGTAGTTTTACACGCCTTACCCGAACAGAAATGCGCTGGGTCTAGCGGCGACCGTGTTAGACTAAAATATATTTATGTGTATATATATATATAAAGATGGGAAAACATGCACAGTATAACTGCAAGTATGTGCTTCTAGGAAAACCAAAACCTGCGGCAGGAAATGCACAACCGAATATTGCGGCATTACACATGATGTCCATACGAAAGGGTATCGTGAATTACATTGTTTGAAGTATGCGGCGTGGGCATGAAATGACATTGTCGTTGCAAAGCCCGTGGTACGTGGAGCGACGTGGTACGAGACCATCTCATCTACTTGATGAAAAGAGACTATCTCAATGAACGCAACCGACCGCTCAGAATAAAAATCTAACATGCATCGGGAAAATCGCTTTTTTAAAAGTCGGTTGAAAGTTTAACTTTCCAACGTAATGACGGGGTTGCTAACATTTAAGAGCGAGACATACTTCGCACACCAACCAACAACTAGAGATTTTGACCCGCAGCCGAACATAGCGATGAAAATCCTATTAGAGAGTGACTTCACACCTGATTATAGTGAACAACCCATTAGAGATTTGACTTCACTTCTGAATATAATTATTTTTCATTAAGAAAAAGTTTTTCACATTACTAATAGCAACGATGATTCAAGAACTGAAAGGGATTGCCAAAAACGCGGAGTGATCGGTTACTCCCGTTTGAGGAAACCTCAGCTGCTGAGATTGCTCAGCATGAAAGACGAGCAACGACAACCCACAGTGAAACAACTCAAGCTCCGAGTGAAAGAGCGTGGGCTCAGAGTTTATTCGAGCGCGGAAAGCCGAAGTTCCTCAAACTGCTAGAGGAACACAAACCCATCGAATTACGGTTCTTGTGGACGACGAAGCATGCGTGAGGTAAGTATCTGAGAGGCTGGAGGCTGGACGTCGCTTAAAACATGGATGTCCATGACATCAAACCACTGGAACTGAACTATCTGGGAAGCCCCAAATTTCAACTCACGGTGAAAATGTCGCTGGACAAACAGCAGACGGATGGCACCACCGAGCACGCCCAGCCTTACTTCAGAGGCAAGCAATACGTCGCGACTCAGCCCGAGTCCATCAACGTCCCATCGACACCGCTGGCTTTGCAAAGATAATGAGAATCCGGAACGCTACACCAACATGGGTTTGGGTTGGGTTGTTGACAGGATTGACATGGTCTATCTGGACATAGCAAACTTCATACCGTTCAAAGGAGGGTCGTACCTAGACTTGCCACCGTACTACAAGAAAAAGCAAGCAATGGTCAACGTCAAAACAAAGGCGATGATTCCTAGAGGGTTGCGATCAGATCCGCGAAGTTTCCAGCCAAAGCACATTCAGACAGACTTCGAGCTATCCCAAAGACGATGGGATCAACTGGGATGGCAGAGACGAACACACACACATCCTCCAGGTCACCAAAATCGAAATACAGAACATAGCCATCAATATCTTCGGACACGAAGGGAATACAACAATCGTGCACAGGATCAGCTCCCTCACAAACGAACACCGCAAGACGATCAATATATTCATGTTCCAGCAAGGCCACAAGTATCACTACACGTGGATAAAATATTTCATCAGACTCTTGTACCATCAATCAAAGCATAAGGAAAAGAAACACTTCTGCAAAAGGTGCCTGCACGGCTTCATGTGAGCCGACCTGCTGGAATCCCACCAGGAGGATTGCTGAGGTGATGAGAGAGACGGCCATCTGAATAGACATGCCCGACGAAAAGAAAAATACTCTAAAATTCCTCAACCACAAACATCAAATGCCCGTGCCCTACGTCATCTGAACGGGGATGTCGTGGAGAGATCACTGCCACATCACCGGCAAGTACTGAGGTGCCGCTCACAACACATGCAACTTGACACTGAAAACAATCCCAAAACCATCACAATCCCCGTCGTGTTTCACAATCTTCGCGATTATGATTCTCACTTGATCATGCAGGCCATCGCAAAGGTTGACTGCAACATAACGTGCATTCCCAACAACATGGAAAAATACATCTCGTTCTCCTTAGACAGTCTGAGATTTATCGATAGCGTTCAGTTCCTGCTGCCGTCTCTAGACAGTCTGGTGAACGCCAACGACCAGTGTGACTTAGACATCACCACTCGATACACCGACGCTGAGAGTCGACCCCTGCTGCTGAGGAAGCGCATCTACCCCTTCGAGTACATGGACGATTGGTCTAAGTTCGACGAGATGCTATTAACTCCCATCGACCAATTTTACAGCAACTTGACCGACTCGGCCATCACCCCAGATGATTAAGCGCATGCGATTAACGTGTGGGACAAACTGGGCTGCAATGATTTGGGTGATTAATACGACCTGTACTTGAAAACGGACGTGCTGCTGCTGGCCGACGTGTTCGAGATATTAAAAAAACTTGCTCGAAACAGTACGGCCTGGATCCCGTGTGGTTTTCTCCTCCCCCGGTCTCTCTGGGACGCCTTGTTGAAAAGACCGGCTTGCAGCTGAAACTACTGACGGATTGTGACATGCACCTGTTCGTGGAGAAAGGCTTTGCTAGGCGGGATTCCTATGGCCTCCAAATGATATGCCAAAGCCAACAACAACTACACTCCCTGTCACGATGAAACTTGCTGGGGAGACAATAAGCTGGCTAACGTCGAAAAACTTGTGCTGAACTTGATGAACAAGTCAAAATATGTCATTCACTCGCAATCTGCAGCTGTACTTGTCGCTGGGAATGAAACTCACAAAAATACACAGGGCGCTCCAGTTCGATCAAAGTCCATGGATGGAACCTCACATCTCGGTTGAACACAAATCTGCGAAAACAAGCCACGAGCGACTTCGAAAATAACTTGTACAAGCTCATGAACAACTCTGTGTTCGGCAAGATGATGGAGAATTTGAGAAAACGAGTTAACGTGAAATTAGTCAGATCCAGTGAGGAAGAAAAACTCAGGAAACACATGGCCAGCCTGGCGTCGACCGAAGCAAGATATTCGACGACGACTTGGCAGCGCTGCACATGAACAAAAGCCACATCAGATTTAATCGACCCATTTAGGTGCGGATGAGCATCCTCGACTTATCCAAACACTTGATGTACGATTTCCACTACAACGAGCTGAAAAGCAGTAGGGCGACAGGTGTGAAGTGCAGTACACGGACACAGATTCCCTGCTGATGGAAATTCACACCGACGACGTGTACGAGGACATGAAAAAACACATGCACCTGTATGACACCAGCAACTACCCTAAAGATCACCCTGTGCACAACCAAGTCAACAAAAAAGTGCTCAGCAAGATGAAGGCCGAATGCACAGACATGCCGATCGCCGAGTACGTCGGATTGAGACCCAAGATGTATTCCATCAAGAAAGCCGCCACCACCGAAATCCAAAAGGCGAAAGTCTTGACAAAACATGTAGTGAAAAAACAAGCATGCCAGATTCAAGGAAGCCCTGTTCAAGAATAAAACACCAAATGAACATGCTGATAAGCGACGGACACAGGATATACGCACTGAGAATCAACAAGACCTCGCTGTCTCCCATGGACATGAAACGATGGATCGCCATCGACAGAATCACCACAAACGCACACATGTGTACATATATCATGGAGAAAATGTATTACAGCCCGCGCGGGTACCGGAAAGGCGCGGACGCCATCCCGAAACTCACCAAAGACGCTTGAGTCTCAGAAGAGAAAGCCAAAGCTTGGCTTAAACAATAAGCCATCTGGCAAGTCTACTTGCCGGCGCCTCGATACATCCCGAGAAGAAAATTAGACATTTCAACGTCGAATCGCGTCAACCAAGCCGACCTCCTGTTTCTCCCTCACGGCAAGGTGACGCCTAAAACCTACAAGTACGCTCTGACAGCCGTCGACGTCGCCAGTTGCCACAAGGAAGCCAAACCATTGATGACCAAAGATTCGAACGAAGTCGCCAAAGCCTTAGAACACATATACAAACACAGTAGCGTGACCTGGCCTGCAAAGCCATCGTTGAGAGATTTAATCGCACCCTAGCCGAACACCTGTTCTCGCACCAATACTCACAGGATTTAATGGATCTCAAAAACAGAAACATGGAATCGGTCGTACACTTACGGCGAGTGGTGGATGCCATCAACAACGAAGTCACCAGCCTCGTGGGGAAAAGACCCGTCGAAGCCATAAAAATGAAATCATTCGAATCATCACCAGCGGCGGCGGCGAGTGACCTGTTCCCGTAGCTCCATTGTGTATGCTACTTCATTCAGTCACTCACTATTCATGAAAATGCTGTATGATTTCATATTCAGAACTAGCGCCACCTGACGGCCACACGGGTAAGGAGGCTGAAAGCGGCTTGGCCCGCATCGTGGTCCCCGTCGTCTTCCTCATTGTCGTAGCAGCAGTCGTTGTAGCCGTGCTTCTGGCTGTAAGGTAATGGTCTTCCAAATAACAAGTGTATTTTTCTTCAGGTTCTTTATGTCGAAGTGTTCTATTTTAGTCAACGTCAATCAACAAAGTAAACAACAGTTTGTCTGTATATAACACCAAGTATATTGTACACCTAGTAAACAACAGTTTGTCTGTGTATAACACCAAGTATATTGTACACCTAGTAAACAACAGTTTGTCTGTATATAACACCAAGTATATTGTACACCAACAGTAAATAACAGTTATAGTGTACACCTAGTAAACAACAATATTGTACACCTAGTAAACAACAGTTGTATAACACCAAGTAAACACCTAGTAAACAACAGTTTGTCTGTATATAACACCAAATATATTGTACACCTAGTAAACAACAGTTTGTCTGTGTATAACACCAAGTATATTTGTCTGTACACCAAGTATATTGTACACCTAGTAAACAACAGTTGTGTATATTGTACACCTGTAAACAACAGTATGTATATAACACCAAGTATATTGTACACCTAGTAAACAACAGTTTGTCTGTATATAACACCAAGTATATTGTACACCTAGTAAACAACAGTTTGTCTGTATATAACACCAAGTATTGTACACCTAGTAAACAAATATAACACCAAGTAGTAAACAACAGTTTGAAACAACAGTTTGTCTGTATATAACACCAAGTATATTGTACACCTAGTAAACAACAGTTTGTATATAACACCTCAAGTATATTGTACACCTAGTAAACAACAGTTTGTATAACACCAAATATATTGTACACCTAGTAAACAACAGTTTGTCTGTATATAACAAAGTATAGTATATAACACCAAGTATATTGTACACCTAGTAAACAACAGTTTGTCTGTATATAACACCAAGTATATTGTACACCTAGTAAACAACAGTTTGTCTGTATATAACACCAAGTATATTGTACACCTAGTAAACAACAGTTTGTCTGTATATAACACCAAGTATATTGTACACCTAGTAAACAACAGTTTGACTGTATATAACACCAAGTATATTGTACACCTAGTAAACAACAGTTTGTCTGTATATAACACCAAGTATATTGTACACCTAGTAAACAACAGTTTGTCTGTATATAACACCAAGTATATTGTACACCAAGTATAGTAAACAACAGTTTGTCTGTATATAACACCAAGTATATTGTACACCCAGTAAACAACAGTTTGTCTGTATATAACACCAAGTATATTGTACACCTAGTAAACAATAACTATATATAACAACAAGTATATTGTACACCCAGTAAACAACAGTTCAAAATATAACACCATGTATATTGTACACCCAGTATAAATAAAAAGTATAGTTTGGCTCTATATAACACCAAGTAATACCAAGTATATTTGTACACCTAGTAAACAACAGTTTAACTGTATATTGTATGATATAACACCAGTTTGGTATATTGTACGTCCCTAGTAAACAACAGTTTGTCTGTATATACCTCCAAGTATATTGTACACCCAGTAAACAACAGATTGACTGTTTATAACACTAAATATATTAACTTCATTAACTACATTTGTGCACTATGAGACAAATGGGGTGGCTATTTACCGTAGTGGTCTTTTTTCTTTTCTTTTTTTGATTGTGGTGGTGCTGTTAGTAAAGTTCCTGATGGTGACGTTAATATTATGAATTACCTTGTAGATATCGACGAAGGAGAAGGCAGTTGGCACTGAATGCAAGGTACATTATCTTTTCAATTCATTTATAATCTGTATAAATACCCCAACCACTCACTCACTCAACCACATACTCAACCCCTCACTCAACCACTTACTCAACCACACACTCAACCCCTCACTCAACCAGTCACTCAACCACTTACTCAACCACACACTCAACCACTTACTCAACCACACACTCAACCCCTCACTCAACCATTCACTCATCCACTCACTTCACTATTTACTCAACCACTCACTCAACCACACACTCAACCATGCACTCATTCATTCACTCAGCCATGCACTCATCAACATACTCAACCACACACACAACCACACACTCAACCACACGCTCAACCATGCACTCATCAACACACTCAACCACACGCTCAACCACACACTCAACCATGCACTCATCCACTCACTTTACTGTTTACTCAACCACACACTCAACCACACACTCAACCACACGCTCAACCATGCATTCATCAACACATTGACCACACACTCAACCACACACTCAACCATGCACTCATCCACTCACTCAACCATGCACTCATCAACACACTCAGCCACACACTCGACGTCTGTACATTGAGACTATCCTGCGCTGCAGTGGTCACTCGAGGTCGCCCACTACGAGGGGCATCTGCTACCGCATTCTGCCGGCGATCTCTCCCCCAGAGCCGTGAAATTGTGCTTTGGTGAACATTCATGCGTCGGGCAACTGCACGTTGAGACTGGCCAGCTTCAAGCAAACCAATGGCGATATGACGGTTGGCTTCACTTAGACGTGGCATTTGCGTTTGTAAACAATATTCCAAATACAGTGAATAATCGACAGACAGCGATCAACCTTTTATACCCATCATTGAGACTATCTGATCCCCAACTTTCACGTGCATTACATGTGAATTGTGTATTCAGTGACACTACACGCCGAAATTGAAAATCATGCTGTTAAGTACGGGTATTTTACGGATGGTGCGTTTTGTAATGATGTTTCAAAACATAAACACTATAGCAAAACCTTTTGTAAAATGAATCACGTTTTAATTCATTGATACATGAAATTGCCATTTTCATGATGCGTTTCTTTTTGGGGAGAGTATATCTCCCTCGTTAAAATTGCTCGAGATGAAATTGAAAACCTTCCTCGAAACCTATTTGACTGAATAGCATTAGTCAACTCTGTCAACACTTTGTCAGTTTTAATTTCACAACAAATTACCCGTGAATATCCGGGTTAGAATTGATTTTCAGTAACCTATGCATGTCGTTAGAGGCGACTAACGGGATCAAATGGTCAGGCTCGCTGACTAGCTATAGGTTGACACATGTCATCGTATCCCATTTGCGTAGATCAATGCTCATGCTGTTGATCACTTGTTTGTCTTGTCCAGACTCGATTACTTACAGACTGCCGCCATATAGCGATAATACTGCTGAGAGCGGCATAAATCTAAACTCACTCACTCATAACAAATTCAAGTCCAAATGTATGACCAAATGTGGTAGAAAATGTTGTTTCAGAGATTTTAAGAGAGCTTCTTTCAGTATGTTTGACTCGCGTACACCATTGCCCCGAGCGGATTGTAAGCTAATATTGAGGTCGGGTGTACCCGTTTTGTTGGTGTTTAAACAGGTCAGTGTGTCACTTCGTGAAATAGCTAATATTTTCATACACAAATGAGAAATAAATTATAAAATATCTAAACATTCGGAAATACGTTTGCACAAACGAAAATTCAAGCATCGATGTAGAGTGTCACCAAATGTGTGGCAAGTTTGGATTATAACACAACGATACTGTTACAGGCGGATTCCCATGCCGGGACTAAATCATACGTAAACATTCCGTAAACATTCCGTTAACGTTCCGTAAACATTCGTAAACGTTCCGTAAACATCCGTAAACGTTCCGTAAACGAACAAGGTGTGAACCTAACAAACAAGTGTAATGTTATTAACATCTTTGTCTAACATTAAAAGTTCACCAATCAATACAAGCTATGACAATTCAGTACAATTGCAAAGGCAAAATAATACAACTTTGAGTAGTGATTATAGCTATAAATACAATTATGGCCATATTCCGGTGTGTGTATCAGTGATCCAACTTGCAACATATGCACGACACGACACATTGATCTTCACTCGCAATGCCGGTCTTCAAGGAACTTCTCTTGAGGTGTTATGTCAGATGAGAGGCAAGAGTTATCTCCCCTTAAGCGCATAAGCAAAGAGTGCTGGTTACAGAGCCCCAGCTATTTTACAATGGACTTCTATAGTGACGTTATATTTGGTAAAAAATCATCCAGGCTGTCAACCGCCATTCCATGTACACATGGGTACAGTCTGACCTTTAAACTACAAAAACAGAAACTTGAAAATACGCACATTAAGCAGAAGTCATGGCGATAAGAATGACAGCACTAAATACTTAACATTGTGGTCAGTTTTAATTACTGGATGGATGTGCTTTTAACAAAAAACATGGAAATCTTACACTATTTCATTCAATCACAGCTGTCACATGTTTCTATCTTCAGATGTTTACATACACTCCTCGCGATTCTGATTTAGTGTAGTGGAACCTGCTGGACAGATCTACACAAAATCATATGATTCTGGGATAGGCTTATTGTAGCTCTTTCCAGATCTTTCTGTATAAATCTAGTAGAAGTTTAAACATGTCATACCGCTGCCCCTCGCTGAATATCACATGTACATTGTAATACTGGGAACATTGTTATACGATGAATATCACATGTACATTGTAATACTGGGAACACTGTTATACGATGAATATCACATGTACATTGTAATACTGGGAACATTGTTATACGATGAATATCACATGTACATTGTAATACTGGGAACACTGTTATACCATGAATATCACATGTACATTGTAATACTGGGAACACTGTTATACGATGAATATCACATGTACATTGTAATACTGGGAACATTGATATACGATGAATATCACATGTACATTGTAATACTGGGAACACTGTTATACCATGAATATCACATGTACATTGTAATACTGGGAACACTGTTATACGATGAATATCACATGTAAATTGTAATACTGGGAACATTGATATACGATGAATATCACATGTACATTGTAATACTAGGAACATTGTTATACCATGAATATCACATGTACATTGTAATACTGGGAACATTGTTATACCATGAATATCACATGTACATTGTAATACTGGGAACATTGATATACGATGAATATCGAATGTACATTGTAATACTGGGAACATTGTTATTCCATGAATATCACATGTACATTGTAATACTGGGAACATTGATATACGATGAATATCACATGTACATTGTAATACTGGGAACATTGTTATACCATGAATATCACATGTACATTGTAATACTGGGAACATTGTTATACGATGAATATCACATGTACATTGTAATACTGGGAACATTGTTATACCATGAATATCACATGTACATTGTAATACTGGGAACATTGTTATACCATGAATATCACATGTACATTGTAATACTGGGAACATTGTTATACCATGAATATCACATGTACATTGTAATACTGGGAACATTGTTATACCATGAATATCACATGTACATTGTAATACTGGGAACATTGTTATACGATGAATATCACATGTACATTGTAATACTGGGAACATTGTTATACCATGAATATCACATGTACATTGTAATACTGGGAACATTGTTATACGATGAATATCACATGTACATTGTAATACTGGGAACATTGTTATACCATGAATATCACATGTACATTGTAATACTGGGAACATTGTTATACGATGAATATCACATGTACATTGTAATACTGGGAACATTGTTATACGATGAATATCACATGTACATTGTAATACTGGGAACATTGTTATACGATGAATATCACATGTACATTGTAATACTGGGAACATTGTTATACGATGAATATCTCATGTACATTGTAATACTGGGAACATTGTTATACCATGAATATCACATGTACATTGTTATACTGGGAACATTGTTATACGATGAATATCACATGTACATTGTAATACTGGGAACACTGTTATACGATGAATATCACATGTACATTGTAATACTGGGAACATTGTTATACCATGAATATCACATGTACATTGTAATACTGGGAACATTGTTATACCATGAATATCACATGTACATTGTAATACTGGGAACACTGTTATACGATGAATATCACATGTACATTGTAATACTGGGAACATTGTTATACGATGAATATCTCATGTACATTGTAATACTGGGAACATTGTTATACCATGAATATCACATGTACATTGTAATACTGGGAACATTGTTATACGATGAATATCTCATGTACATTGTAATACTGGGAACATTGTTATACCATGAATATCACATGTACATTGTAATACTGGGAACATTGTTATACGATGAATATCACATGTACATTGTAATACTGGGAACACTGTTATACGATGAATATCACATGTACATTGTAATACTGGGAACATTGTTATACCATGAATATCACATGTACATTGTAATACTGGGAACATTGTTATACCATGAATATCACATGTACATTGTAATACTGGGAACATTGTTATGCGATGAATATCACATGTACATTGTAATACTGGGAACACTGTTATACCATGAATATCACATGTACATTGTAATACTGGGAACATTGATATACCATGAATATCACATGTACATTGTAATACTTGGAACATTGTTATACGATGAATATCACATGTACATTGTAATACTGGGAACACTGTTATACGATGAATATCACATGTACATTGTAATACTGGGAACACTGTTATACGATGAATATCACATGTACATTGTAATACTGGGAACACTGTTATACGATGAATATCACATGTACATTGTAATACTGGGAACACTGTTATACGATGAATATCACATGTACATTGTAATACTGGGAACACTGTTATACGATGAATATCT